GGTGAAATTAAGTATTAATCAACTAGCCCCAAATCACATCCCCAGTGTGTGGGAGAACTGAGGTTAGAACATAGAACACATCTCTCTTGGTTTCATGTTCTTCCTTTTCCACACAACTACGTTGTCTCAGAAACAATGCGGCTCAAGAGTAAAGGTACAGCCATCTCGATGCACAGGTGTGTGACCATTTCCTACTAAACTGGTAGACACAAACTAGTATATTTATAATGCATATAACAAAAAGAATTAACTCTAGAGCATAAATGTCTATACATCTGAATAAATGGGCTCTAGAAGTTGTTTTGAAATAAGATTTTTTTAAATACTTTTTCATTAAGTAATAGCTTTATTTATATAGTACCTACTATGTCCTGTATAGTTTTTAGGAATTTGCATTGTATAATTTGTATTATATATTAACTAATCTCATCTTTGCAATAACCCTTTGCAGTAGTATTACTCTCATTTTACAGATAAGGAAGCTGAGGCACAAAGGGTACCTTTCTCAAGATCACAGAGTAAGTAAGTGGTGCAGGTGATTAGGCAGTCTCGTTTCAGAGTCTGAGTCTGTGTTCTTTTTATACTGCTTCTCAGACTAACGTTTCTTACAGCAACTAATATTTCACCAAATATTTTGAAATTTTTAGGACAGAGAGTTAAAGTGGACATTAGACCTAGGAAAAATTCAGTGATATAGTACTTAGAATGCATAAACAATACATTGAGAATTTAGCAGTAACATCTTAAATTCAGGATTTATCATCCAATGCAGATGGAATTTAATATCCCTAAAAAACTAGAAAGAATGCACTGCAACCCCCATTTTAAATATGATCTATTAATTCCAAAGTTACTTATTCCATCTTTAAATATTCTACTCTTTAAGTTTCAGAAATTTTCTTAACACTCTTTGATTCATTTATAAACGTTTGTGAACCAGCCTTCAGCATACATTTTATCAACAGGGGCTATCACATCATATATATATATATATATATGCTTATACATACTTCATTAAGACTTTTAAATTAAATGTACCTCAGTATTAATAAAATATGTAAACTTAAACTTATATAAAATATTCCTATGAACTAACATGCAAGATATAGTGCTGAACACAGAGTGAGCACTTCATGCCTCCTTGTGCATGGGGTGATTTGCATGTTCTAGTAAGATTTAAGGGCAGCAGGGGTAGGGTTATGGTTTTCATGACTAAGCCAATCTTGAGTATCTCTGTCTCAGACTTTCATCAATAGTGAGTATATCAAGTATATGATAAAATCAACACACTGAGAATGTCTACAAAATAAACAGAATGTATAAGACTGATAATAAATGTAAAGGTTTTGGAAAATTTTCAAGAACATTTTTGGGTGCATTTATATGTGTACATGCATGCATGAATATGTTACATTCCCCCTATAGTAACAGGAGCACAAAAAAGATCATATAAAAACAGACAGCACTTAAAGCAAGTTTAAAATGACACTTTCTATGGTTTGAATGTTTATGTTCCCACAAAACCCGTATGTTAAAACTCTAAGCCCAAGGCGAAGGTATGAGGAAGTGGAAGTGGTACAATTGGGAGGTGATTAGATCACAAAGGCTCTGTGAGAGAGATCCAAGAGAAGCCCTTTCCCTTCTGTCATATGAAGACATAGCTGGAAGGCACCATATGTAAAATAGGAAGGAGCCTCTCCCCAAACACCAAATCTGCCCCCACATGATCCTAGACTTCCCCATCTTCAAAACTGTAAGAAATTGCTGTTGTTTATAAGCCATTCAGTCTATCATGGATTTTTTTCTTCTTTTTCTTTTCTTTACAACAGTCCGAACAGATAAAGACAATACTTGTCAATGGGCAACATTCAGAACAATCAGAGAAATAAAACACACACAAAAATGAAGACATTCACTGCATTAATTTTGAAAAATTTCCCTTAGCTGACGTTAGGAAGTAAAGTAATAATCTTAATATGTGTTATAATTATAAAACAAAATATGTTACTTATTTCAAATTGTATTTTTATTAAGAAGTATTTGAAACCTATTCAACTAGAATTGTTAAGCCTTTCTAATTAACATCAGTACCTGATAGACCAATGGACCAGTCTAAAATAGTAATTTTTAACATATTTTCTAAAACTTTTGAGATAGCACAGTACTGACTGTAATAATAATTTGTTACATAGCATCATAATATGTAATAAATATCACAATATAATAACTTATTTAAGGAGTTGGTGAGAAATTAGACTGATGAACTATCTTTTAACTTTGAGGTCTCCTTATGAATAAAATTGACAGAATATATAAGCACTAAAATTCTCAGAGGTAGTTCTAAAAGTTAGTGTAGTTGAAATTTGAATTTAGAAACCTGAGGGACCAGCAGTTGGCGTAATGGCTATGTCGCTGGACTCCCATGCAGTTGACCATGGTTCGAGTCACAGACCCCGTGGCTTAAACTCATGCCAGGTGCGTATGCATGTGTGCCCAAGATCCCAAAAAGAGAATGGAGGAGAAGGGATTGTGATGTGGTCATCCCCCCACCGGGAGGTGATTTCTTGCTTTCTGTCTCTGTCTCTGTCTTTCTGGCGAGTGCACACACTCTATAGGGCAAAATCCTCTCCAAAAAAAAAAAAAAAAAAAGATCGTATTTGTCCTATATCTTTCAAGTCATTAGCTCTGGTTAAAATGGCCTCTAAGACTTGTTTAACAATTATATAAAAAAATCAAATCATCATGTGAAATTTCGAACAGGAAAAAAAAAGTGTAATTCTCCCTAACAAAGCATGCTACTTCTCATTTAAAAGAAATGTGATTGTGATATCCAACTGTTAAATTGATGGCTTCTTGCTATGTGATCAACTCCATCATTTATTGTGGAGAATGGTAGAGTAAACTGTACTTGGACTTATAAAGCCAAATGAAGGTCCTATAATTGTAGCTTGAACATAAACACATTGATCTTCCTGAAATGCTCTCCTTTTTTGAATTCTCTTTTGTGGATATTTACTGTCCTTTATTATCTGGCTCTTTTTTTTTCATCCACTCTCTAGTAATAAATGTTGGTAATCTCCAAATTTTGATTCTTAACTCTTGTCCATCCCTCAAACAAGCTCTGTCTTTTCTCTAAGACTCATACAACATATATTCCCTATCCTGATAAAATGTACCACCATCTATCCAAATATTTCAGTCATCTGATATCTTATTCTCCTTCTTCCTGAATCAATAATATGTGATCAGTGATTAAAATTTGTAGATTTTTACATCTACAAATAAATAACGTCTCATGTTTTGATGGCCTCTGTTGATACCTTAATTTAGATCCACTATCATATCTTAACAGATTTACTGCAATATCCTTATAAACGATCTTTATGCTTGAATCAGTCCAGTCTATTTTTCACTTAGCTGCTAGAGTAATATTTCCAGGACCAAATAACTGACTTTCTTATTCTGTTGCTTTACATGCTTCAATAACCTACACAATCTTCATCAATCTGATCCCTGAGTACATTTGCCTAAATTTGAAGTCATCAAAGTCATATGATTTCCTTTGCCTGAAATGTTTTCTACACAAGAAGCCATTTTTTTGAGTTCATAATATATACCTCAAAGGTCAACTCTTCTATGAAGTCTTGGCTGAACTAATATCTGTCCTTTCCAAATGGAAATGATCATACTATCTTTTGTGATCCACTGTATTCTGTCTCTCTCTCCCTCTCCACACACACACACACACACACACACACAGAGAGAGAGAGAGAGAGAGAGTTATCTAATAGTAGCTATAATTATTCCATTTACTTGTTTAAGTCATAGTAGAAAATGTTTGCAAGAATGAGGTCCTGTTATTTCCAGTACCTAGAACAATACCACACTGCATGTGTTTAATAAATGTGTGCTGAATGAATGTGCAGTTTCAGCTCAAGTAGTTATCTCGTCCATGAAGTCTTTTCTGGCCATCTATTTGAAAGAAATTTCATTTGACTTTATAGCTTTGAAAAATGTATTGTTAGACTTCTCCATAATGAGACATGAACATAGTATGTTAACACATCTCTTAAGTTCTCAGTGATGTGGATAGCTTCTTTCGGGCATGTAATAGGTCAATGGCATTCTCCACATTCTAGATTGACACATTCAAAATAGAAATACAATACTTTTAGAATTGCATAAAATGGTGGAAATATTTGTGTGTGTGTGTGTGTGTGTGTGTGTATTATATATATATATATATATATATATATATATAGAGAGAGAGAGAGAGAGAGAGAGAGAGAGAGAGAGAGAGAGAGAATATCTAGAG